ACCAGAAAACAATAGGTTGAAACATATCTTCACATGCAATTCTGCAAGTGGTAAGGGGCTGGCCTGCCACTGATTCCAAAGGATGCTGTTTTAAAGTGTGCGCTGTATGGGACACAGTTACATTCCAGCTTAGAAAAATCAGAAGGAGTTCTTTCAGCAACAACAATATAAAAATTAGTTTACAATGATTACATATGCAGAACTGTGGTGACTTTTTTGGGGGTGTTGCTAATAATTATTTACCAGGTTCCAAGTGATGAAAGTAATCTTATTTAACTAAGTTCTCATCATGGTATCCCATCAGCCACTTCCAGCACTGGCAGCAGCACTATGCTATCTGAATAAGGCTCCTTGCCAAAATCCAGTGTTGAGTTGGAAGCATAGACAAAGAGCCTGTACCACTTCAGATGGCTTTTTAACACTGGGGTTGCATACCATATTTCACCTATTTTTTATCACACTTGCATCAGTTTTACATTGTATATATTCCTGACTGCAACAAATTCACCGTAACACAAATATGATAAAAGAGCCAGGCCTATTGTTCTCAACCTCCCTGATGTAAACACAGAGCAGATACTTTTATACAATGCCATGACACCACAACTTAGGTTAGCTCTAAGCCTTAGTGGTGGCTTAACCCCAGCCAGAAACCAAGCCCCACACAGCCCCCTCTCTTACCAAAATGACTGGGGAAGGGTGAAAGCAGGACAACTCATGGGCTGAGAAAAAGACAATGTAATAGGGAAAGCAAAGGCTGTGCACACAAGCAAAACAAACCAGGGAATTAATTCAGTGCTTTCCATGCACTGGCAGGTGTTCGGCCATCTACAGGAGAGCCAGGCCCCATCATGCAAAATGGCTACTTGGGAAGAGAAATGACATCACCACAAATGTCCCTCCCTTTTCTGCTTCTTGTCCCCACTTTATACCCTGAGCTTGGTGCCACATGGTCTGGAATATCCCTTTGGTCAGTTTGGGTCACCTGTCCTGGCTCTGTCTCCTCCCAGCCTGCCAAGCACCCCCAGTCCCTCCCCAGTGTGGCTGCACCAAAAGCAGAAAAGGCCTTGGCTCTGGGCAAGCCCTGCTCAGCAATAACAAAAACATCTCTGTATTATCAACTCTGTGTTCAGCACAAATCCAAAACACAGCCCCATAGCAGCCACTCTGAGGAAAATTAACTCTACCCCAGATGAAACCAGCACAGACAAAAATGCACTGTTCTAAATGCCATCTAAATTAACAATGGGAAATCAAAGCAAATGAATCTGATACACAGTTTTAAGATCAGGTTAAACAGAGTAATCGCCATTAGCATAATCTGCCTTAGGGAATAGGAAGGAAATTGCATATAAACTATATGTAGTTACAAGATACTACATATTGTTTCTGGAATCTTTGCTTTTTCTGTTGCAAATTAAATATTCTACATCTCTAGAAACCACTTACTTTGATGAAAGCCACTATAAATAAATAATTTTTCCAAAATCAAACAATCTCATTTGTTTATACTCAGCTATGTACAAATTTCTGTCCTTTAAAAAATATTTAAATTATATTAGTCAAATAAAGTCCTCTTTTTGCTCCTTGGGTTTGCATTTGGCTCCTTATGAAGATCACAGGTTTTCCTAGTTCCCCATAAAGATTTAAACTATGTTTTTCATTGTGTCACATGTATAGATCCTTCATACTAATTGTCTTAGGTAAAACCTTCTCACATTCAGGTTTCAGCAGTTTTCCAGATATATCACTTTTCAATTCTATTTCTGTAACTACAGTGTCTGAATAAATGAAGTTAAGGTAGCAGCAGCAAACAATCTATTCACGTCAGAGCTTAAAAGAATTAAACTTGCCCTGATTCCTGAAATCAAAGAGGTGAATTCATAGGTAAATCCTCAGGCATCACCTTGGCTAGTTAACTTGACATGTCAATTAAATGCAACACTAATTTATTCAATTCTCAGTCTAGTCTGACACAAAACCTATACTTCCCCTCCTTCCTAATTAGCCAAAGTACTTGCTTCTTTCATGCAGATAATTTCATAACCATTACTGTAAAGCATTAACACATTTTTCTTTCAATCATATTTTCCTCCTGTTGACTGACACACCTTTTCCAGTGAGGTTACTTATGCCAGTTTCAGTTCAGTGGGAACTTGCCTGAAGGTCTTTACAGAAGTTCCCTCCCATACACATAGAACAATGATACATAATCATGATGTTAGCTATGGGAAGACACCTATGTCTTACCTTAGGAAATATGAATGGAAAATTATGCACTACAGTAATGTAGCCGTTTCCATTTCTGTATATTTATGAAGCTTAATTGAATACTACTTAACATATGGTAGAATGCAGTGTGATTAACTCCTCGGAAACGAGTTTAGATGGTGCTTCTCTTTAAATAATTTAAGCGGGTTTTTTTGACTGAGAAGACTTCTTACAAAATGCCTAATAATTCTGTGAAAGTTAATCAAACCCAAGAAATTTCTTTTGTGTGCACACAAAACTTTAACTATATATTAGCTCTGGCTATGTATGTATGTATGTGGTGAATGGCTATATGCAGTAAACCATACTCAGTATTTGTTTCTTAGTTCTATGTTGACAAATTATTTACGAATGTTTTTTTAAAGATAATTATGAGGCTTTATACACAAAGCTAGGTGGAAGATGCATGGAAACACACAAAAATGCCATTCATCCATGTGAAAATATTGATGATTTTAGCTAACTTTTAAGTTCTTTCCCTCACTGAATTTAAGACGGCTTTCTTTCAAAGGGAAAGAAAGGGATTGGAACTGACTATATCCTGCAGAGGTGTCAGAAAATGGAGGCGAAATTTGGAGATTTTCTGAAACTCTGCTACATTCTCTGGGGAAGAAAACATGTCCAAAATTACTCAAGAAAAAAAAAATCAGTTTCCTAGTATGAAATGTTTGTATCGTTCGATTTGATTGACATTTCTTAGGAACAAGCAATTTGCATCATTTCCACGTGCATGGTCCCTTGGGGAAATTCATCACTCTTCTCATTCCCCAGTCTCTCCCTGTACAGTGGTCCAGATGCAAGACAGAAGCAAGTCTGAATCATGCACACTCATGCACTGCATGATCAGAGCATAAAATTCTTGTCACCTTCTCAGTAACAAATGCAACCATAGAATGTGATGTTACATCTCTCTGAGGGGAGGCTTCCAGCCCTGCCTGCTCCAGCAATGCAGTGGTAGGCTTCACAGCATCATCTGAACCATCAGAATGCTGCAAGGGTTTGCTTCACTCCTTTGCATAAGGTGTCTTGTGTCACCACCCAGGCAGAACCTGCACGTTTTGCCAACACAACTTGGTCAGACACGCTGGCCTCTTGGGCGGGCTCTGGAGCCAGAGCTTGTCCCCAAGAGTGATGGGACTGCCTTGGTGCCCTGTCACCCAGGCAAGATAACGATGCCTACACAGTATGCATTGTCAACAGCTGAACACAAAGCTGGTCCATTGTGTCTTGAAACAAAGACGCTCCACCAGCTTATCTCAGAATCAGTGCAATTTAACTGGTACAAGCCAGTTTAATTAAAAAAGATGCTCTCATGTGGGCTCAACAGAAAGTATCCTGGTTAGTTTCTATCTGTATGTCTGCCAGTGCAAGCTAAGCCACTTTTGAGAGGTTTAAACCCACATATGTGTTCCTTTTCAAATTCACACTAACTAAAATGACAACCGCAGCCAAACTAGAACGAGTTTCACCAGGCTACTTATTTAGGCATTTTTAGAAATATTAATCTCTTATACTAATCAGCTTGGTTTGCTGATTGTAGTGATGTGACTAGCCTGCCCTACCTTTGGTTATAACATGCTGTTTTGGCAATCCTCATACCAAAGACTAGTAAGGCTGTACTGGATGTCTGTTTAATTCATTACAAGGAGTACTAAGGAGCAAGTTCCTTAATCACCGATGTAAGACAATTTACCATTGTGCCTGTGTATGTTTTCAGTTCCTAATTCTGCTGCCCACTGGTCTTTGCTGTGACCTGCAAGCTGGTGTGACAACAGAAGTTATTCTGCACTGCCAACTGCACAAAAATGGGAGCTCAGGCACTGCTGCAGCATTGCCATGCCACGTCTCCTGAATTTCACAACTGTGGAGAAAACCCCACCAGATCATTTAATCCCTTACCCCAAAAGTGCACCGTTGGCCCCCAAGACTTTTAGCGGCTGTGTTTTTACATCCTGGTCTACAACTCACACTAATGAAAGAAGTTAGATCAAAACTAATATTGTGCAAAATGAGAAATAAACCCCAGATAGTTTGTAGTTTCTCATAAGTTTTTAAGACCTTCAAGGAATTTTCAGTGCATGCAGTGTTCAGATAGGCAGCCTCTTCCACCCATTTTGGTAGCCACCATCAGTAACTGCCATGCAGCCTACGTATCTTTGGGGGTACTGGTAAAATGCAGGAATAAAGAAAGGTAAGGCAGTAAGAGTTACTGATGTAACTTATTCAAACATTATATTATTCCTTAGAAGAGATACCACTGTCTGTCCAGAGATCTTTCAAGATATTTTCATTCCTTAATGAAGTAAGAAAAGGTGTTCAAACACTGACTGTCATTCCAAGACAGGAAATCAAAAGCTATTTTAACCAGAAATCATCAAGTAATGCACATATGTTCTCAAAGAATCAATAAAATGCACTTGATGAAGAGTGATTTCTGCTCACAAAAAACAGGTCAAAAAGCACTGGGAAAAGACTGAGAGAAAAACATATTCTAAGTACTATTATGCAGACACAAAAAGGAGTTTCATGGGGTTTTTCAGTAATTTTCTGTATTTCTGTTCTGCTGTTTTTCTCACCTATCATGAAAAATCTTGCAAAGAAACATGCAACTATTTTATCAAAATCTCTTGCTTCTGCTATTACTAAGCTGTCTTTGTTCCTAGGACTATTCAGCCAGAGAGGGGGCAAACTGCCTGTACTACTTCTTAATTAGATAAAATATTAATTACCATTTTTGAAGGAATCCTTGTTGCTTTTGCAGGAAAAAGACATCTGCTGGTAAGGACTAGTGGATTTCCACTGTGCACTAGTTAATGCTGGCTGACAAGAAGTGTCCATTTTGAGGTCCATCTGATTTTCACTAGTCCCTGCTACATCAGAATTTGAGATATTCATCCCATACACACCGTCCTCATAAACGAGAGAAGAATTTGATCTGTTGATTCTTCTTAGAGACACACACACTACAGCTTCATTGAAGTAGAATGCATTTTCACCATGTAAGCTGTCCAATTGATTATGTCCCATTATCTGCAGAAGGGAAAAAAAACCAGCAAAAAACAAAACAGAGAATTTTACTTTCATCTTTGTCAAGTAACAGAACCAGAGAATCACACAGTATGTCACTTTGGAAAGGACTCATAAGAATCATGGAGTCCAACTCCCTGCTTCTCACTATGTAAAACTGAAGTATATGACTATAAGCATCATCCTGAAGAATACATAGCAGGATGCAGAAAATTAACTGCCAGACAGAATAGGGATTCATTGCAAATAGTCATCTAATCTGCCAGAGGTTAACTTCAAAACATATTAAATTTTATAAACAGCAATAACCTAGCAGATCTGGTCTTAGCACACCTTGAAAGAATAACTGCAAAGTAACAGGTAAAAAAGGACCACTATCTGGGATGCATTGAGCTCTGTGGACTACTTCCAGAGCGTTAATATTTTGCCTCATGGCTCAACAAGGTGCCACTTCTCATATGTAAACCTGTGTACTCTGCAATCCAAAAATAACACTGTACCTCACATAGACAGGCAATCACAGAGAACAGGGCTGCAGCAGTCAAACTGGGGATGGCAAACAGCTTTAGGCAGGTGTTTACTAAGGCCAATCTCACCAAAAATAAGCAGGAGAATTAGAGTGAGTTATTGCATTGTTTTGGTCACACAGAATTATCTAGGCTGTGTGTAATACAAAAACATTGGGAGGGGAATACCAGCTGACTGTCACTCAACTTGTTCCACTGCTGCACTGAGTATGGTAGTGGAAACACAGGAGAAAGACAATCTTAAGGTCTGGATGGATTCAAAGCCATGTAGTCTACTTGAAAAAAATACAAGCAGACTTACAAATGAAATATTAGATTACAAAAACTACTACTCTCTGACACTCAGCATTGAATTATTTTGCCTCTCTGTGCATCTGAATATCCCTGTATCAGACTATTATCCTTCAACTTCCCCTCCTCTATTTCAGAAGTCACACTCCTTAAAGCTAATGGGAAACTTCAGTTTTGGATTTATCATCCACTTCTTAAGCACTGCCAAACAAGTCAAAACTGCAGCACAGGCTATGCTGGTAAAAAGTGTCTTCATTGTCTGGGCTAGCAAGCATACATGGGTAAGTCATGTACACACTGTGTTCACAAAAGCCAGATGAAAAGGGGGAGGTCAGAGGCCAATCCTTTAACCCCTCAGGCGGGCATAATCTTAGATGCCAAATGGTTATGGTTGAGTTGCCAGCTGAAAAACTATGGAGGTGATGGCTTGAAGAAAGGCTCTACAGACTTTCTTGTGAAAACGAGAACCTGAGGGGAAAAAGAAGCTGTTTGTGTCAGTGAGCTTTCCATACGTGGAAAAGCCAGACAAAATGTTTTGATTTTCAGGTACTTTGGAGAACAGTTATGGAAATCAAGACCACAATCACGAAGCAGGTATTGGAGATGAGGACCTACCTGGCAGGTGAGCACCCAGACAGCTGAGTTCAGAGGCAGACTGCACCCTTCAACCTCAACAAAAACTTAATCATTTTTATTATTAAACACTTAGCAGTTTTGGGGCTACTTTAAATTGCACCCCCAAATAATAAGCATGTCCAAGGATTTATATTGTCAGAGATGGTGCCACACACCAACCTCTTCCCCTAGGGGGATGGTTGTTTCAAGGAACAGGACAGCAGGGCCTGATATGTGGGGTTAACAAGAGCCTGATGTTTGTTACTCCTGGAGGTGCACCTTTTCCTCCCTGGAGCTAGTGGTCCAGGAAAAAAAACAGCAACCAAAAACTTCATTAAGTGCCTTATATGCTTAAGCATTACAATAATTAAATATTTCTACAAGATGCAGAGACACAATGGGTCTTACAAACACAGTAGTAAAGCAGAATAAAACACAGATTCTCATATTTATAATTTCTGTCTTCTCAATTTAAAAAACACTTGCCTAACTTTGGGTTTTGTCTAGCTTAAAATCACAGAATGGTTGAGGTTGGAAAGGACCTCTAGAAGACATCTGGTCAACCCCCCCTGCAGAAGCAGGGCCACATAGAGACAATTGCCAAGGACCACATCCAGGTGGCTTTTGAAATATCTCCAATGACAGAGACTCCACAACTTCCCTGGGCAACCTGTGCCAGGGCTCCATCACCCCCACAATACAAAATAGTTTTCTGATGTTCAAAATGAATCTTTGGTGTTTTTGTTTGTGCCCATTGCCTCTGGTTCTGTCACTGGGTGCCACTGAAAAGAACCTCGCTCCATCTCCTTCAGAACCTCCATTTAGGTGTTTTTATACACTAAAAGGAACCCCCATTAATAAGGAATCCCCATTAATAAGAACCATTTCTTCTCCAGGTTGAACAGTCTCAGCCTTCCTTACTGGGGAGATATCCCTGCCTCTCAAACAGGCACTTCACCAGACACCCATCCTCCTGCCTTTACTTCCTCTCCACCCCAAGCTCTGTGCTTTTCTTGTACTGGGGGAGCCAGACTCCAGGTGTGTCCAGAGCAGAGAGGAAGGATCCCCTCACTTGACCTACTAGCAACACTTTACTCAGAGCAGCCCTTAACACTATGTGCCACCCTTTTAGAAGAGCACGTTGTTTGCTTATATTCTACAGTCCTTTTCACAGAATCATAGAATCATAAAGGCTGGAAAAGATCTCCAAGATCATTAAGTCCAACCTTTGACCCAACACACCACCATCACATCAACAAAATCATACCACTAACTACCATGTCCAATCACTTTTTGAACATTTCCAGGGACAGTGACTCCACCACCTCCCTAGGCAGCCTGTTTCAATGCCAGCAAAGAAATTCTTCCCAATGTCCAAATCAAACCTTCCCTGTTACATCTCAAGGTCATTTCCCCTTGTTGTCTCACTAACTGCCTGGGAAAAGAGGCTGACTCCCTTCTCGCTACAACCTCCTTTCAGGCAGCTGTAGAGAGTCAAGCTGATTTCCAACAGGTGACCACCAGCATCTACCCATGCATGGGGTAGCTCCTTCTCAAGGGCAGGACTTCGCACTTTCCTCACTTAAACTTCATGATATTCAAAGAAAACGCTAGGATATGACTGAATCTCAGCTTCCCACATGCTCACTCATTACTTTAAGAACCAACAAAACCCAGAGATCCTGGCCTATTCGTCAAGGCAGGTTTCTAGGAATGCAGTCAGGGGCATAGTTACAATGGGGAAGCACAAACCTCATAGTCTCCTGTGTGTGAAAACAGGTCGTTTTGCTGACCATGTTTCCAGTGCCACACGAGTTTCTTCTGCATTTTCACATTGTCTCTTTCCCTCTCCACCATTTTCTGGCCCTCCCGGAGCCTCTCCAGACTCTGCTGGTACTCGTGCAGCTGCAGCGCCAGTCTCTGCCGGCTCTGCTCCAGCTGCTCTTTCTGGGCCCGGCACTCCCGCTCCCGCTGCTGCAGCCGGCCCGCCCTCGCCTCCTGCTCCCGCTGCCGCTGGTCGCATTCTCGCAGCCACCGCTGCTGCTCCTGCTGGAACTGCTGCCTCGTTTTGTCTATGCTGGCCAGTTGCACCCTTTGTTTTTCCAGATTCTGACATTTCTCTTGTTCCAAAATGAGGTTCAGCCGAGAACCGTGACTCCGACTGGTCTTCTCATTCTCTTGCAGTAGTAACCTATGGAGCTCTTTGTGGCTGTCCTGGATAGCCAGTGCTGCCTAGACGCCACAATAAAATCAGACACAAATGTTTAAATATCAGCTTTAATACATTTCTGTGTTTTTACATAGAATCATTATATAAAGATGCTGGAACTTTTTTGGGAGGTTATTCCTCAAGCAAATAGATAAAATTATGTGATAATGCCTTTACATAGAGGTATTTCTAAAATAAAACTCAACTTTTTTGAGCACTTTTAAAAAAGTTTCTGGTTTACACTTAGTATTATAATACATGTTTATGTTACAGCTGTGCATATGCACTTCAATTACAGCTGGGGTCCTGTTCTGTCAGAGGATGTAAAGACACGCAGGAAAAACGATATTTCATGGTTGAAGAGGGCAATAAGGCATTGGGAATGCTATATTCACCCAAGTATTCCTAACACAGCTGTGACTTCTACACATAAAACTGTACTGTTTCCAAGTGAGTTCACTGTGGCTTTAAGGCTCTCCTTGCTAACCTGCAACACTGCAGTCCAGCTAACACCAGTCCTACCGGCAGCTACCAACACAGCCATGTCACCCGGACTGTACCACTGCACACACCTGACCGAGGTGTCAGTGCAAGCATAAACCTGCAGGATAGTAATGGTTTCAGGTTTGATGTTCCTATTTTACAGTCGGGAGTTCTATATTCCATCCGTCACAAGGATGTTTTGACACTGTTTGCAATAAAGGTTGTGACATCCTCCAGTAACGCAAAAACAAATAGCTGGGATTAAGAAGAAAGAAAAGCAAGAAAACCCTAGATCTGCTGAGGTACTTATTGCACTATGTTTAAAAGCTGACATGGGAATCTATTTCAGGAGACATTCCCAGAGAACTCACATAGCCCCACTGCCACGTGCTGTTCACCCCAGAAAGTTTTCTACTTCATGCAATGTACCATCTGCACTTTTCTTCGCTCTTCCTCCAGTATTGGGCCAGTTCCAGTGACTTGTAAACAAGACAAGATCCTCTGCATGTTTCTCAGCACCTGACTGTTCATTCATGGTCTGAGCAGTTAAGGCATGATCCTAACCTTACTTTATTGTCCCTATTTGTTTTTCAATTACTCAAAATTTTTTGCACGAATTACAGGATTTTTATTTTGTTTTTTTATTGTTTCAATACACTTAACTTCTAAGCCTAAGGTTTCCAGGATTATTATGAAATATGCTAAGGGCAATAGGGTCTAAAAATTAGGTATACTTAGATGAAACATTTAAAAATAGAATTATAAAGTGCAGCTAAATAAGAAGAAGTAAGTTAAGATATTTAAGCTTAGCATAAAAGAGGCAAATACTTCATACTAAGGCCCTACAGTAAGTGAAGTAAGTAATAAAGTAAGTAACGCCCAAAGTAAGTGAGATTTAAGCACCTAAAATGGGCTGAGTTTGCTACCTGAGCTACCTGGCCAAATTACTGCTGATTACTAGCCAGGAGAACAGTCTAATCAAAATACAATTTTTTTTTCAATTCTTTGAACTATAATTTCAGAAATCTGTATGTGGAATGACATCAGTTCAAGTGGAGTCATCATTTTATTTTCCTGCTAGGTTTTTGGACTGTAGAGACATCCTCTTTTGGGAGGAGGGACTGATCTCCAAGCAGGTTAGTATTATTCAGGTCTTAAAAGAAACCTACCACTGATGTAGAATAAAACTGTATCCTGTGACAACTTATGCAACAGTCAAAAGAGATCAGGATCAATTAACATAATGTCTAAAAGTAGGACAACATGAAAACAATTCTTTAAAAGTAAATTATTAGGACAAACTAATTACTCCCTGAAGTTAGTAGTGGAGTAGTCACCTGCATGCTGTATAAGAGACGGGTTAAGTTCTGGATTGCTTGTACAATCTAGAAAATAAAAGAGAAAGATTTTCAAAGGTTTGACCACTGTTAACTAAATAATTACTACATTCTGTCTGAAGTTTAAATTAACTCACCTCTGTCCCTGTAGATTCTGAAAAATTCATATTTGCTCCCTAAAATAAACACATGTAGGTTTAAAAAGTTGTTTTAAATTTTAAAGCTGTATCATCAAGTTAATTTTTTTTTTTAAACTAGTGGGGACATGTGGCTAGGAAATGTGTACTGAGTCAACCCTTTATGTGGGTATATTAAAAAAGGCAGAAGCAACCATCTGTGAAGACTAATAATACATCAATAATGGAGTTTCTGAACATAACTGTACAAATTAAACTATTTCATCTGCAATTTTAATCACTTATGAGTAATGCTACACAGAAAAGACATTTCAATTCATTCTTTGTTTACTTGACAGTTTTTATATATCTGTTGTATATACAGATTTCTGTATATACAGCCCAGTAGGTTAAGATTAATTACAGTAGGATAGGTTAAGATTAATTACAGTAGGATGAAACAGCATAAGAATCTTCAAAATTAGAGATAATAATGTACTAAGAAACTAGCAAGAAGGCACGTTATTGGATCACAAAAAATGCCTTAGGAACCCTGTGAGATGCTATGCCCAGGACATGCTACAAAAGGCACCAGCATGGTCACTACTGTCCTCTGCAGCAAGGCACAGCTGCTTCACACTTTCCATCCTGCTCTCTTTTCCTAAAAAGTTCTCAAAATTTATGGGGTGAAGCTACCCATAATCCCTTCAGCATGAAGAACAGTTCCTTTGAGAAAGATAAGATGAAATGGTGAGAACTGTTTCAAATACAATCCCTTCTGAGACTACACTGAAAAGACTTCCTGTATGATTTTTCCTTTTTTTTTTTTTCAAAGAAGCTGACGAGAGTTTGGGGAATATTTGTTTTCTCTCTGATTCTCTTAAGTTCTCTACTGAGTCTCATTTTCCGCCACAGAGAGCAAAGCATCTGCTACATTTAGATGCAATAACTGAAAATGAAAATGAGAAAGACCAGCCCCCTAAACACAACCCAGCACAGACACCCTTGAGGCAAAGGGAGTACCAGCTGCATCATTTCCTCCACTACTCTTTCTCTCATTATATCTCTTCAGTATTTCCTTCCATTCCCCCTCCATATCTTAACCTCCTCCTTCTCACTGTATCCCCAAGCCATAGAAAAGCTCAGCTCTGCTGTGAAAGCTGAGTATTTTGTGTGGATGTCTTTGTGCAGCACAAGAATGGACTCAAGATAGCTCTGCTCCTCCTTAGCTGTATGGTGTGCAGTGGGTAAGGAGGCAGCACAGGGCCAGGAGGGAGAGAAAGGAGATAATGCTGGAAGGGTGAGGAAGAGTGAACAAGGGAGAGCCTGCACACTGAACAAGAGCAGGGTTTCCCTCAGGTTTTTAAGCTCTTTTTAACTGAAAATGGATGCACACATGGGGAAGGTTTGTCTGGTATTGGCTTGACCAGGAGTTGCAAGTGGCCTGTCCCAGTGCCCATGGTCCCCTCACTGCAGCACCACTTGAGTGCTAGGACATGAGGTTGAGGAAGGCTTAGCTGAGCTGGCACATCCCTGCAAGTCCAGCTAGGAGTGAAGCAGTAATTTCAGGGGTTTAAATGCGCTGAAGGCCACCTCTCTGCCTCTCCTCCTGATCACCTTGGTTCAGAGAGATGAGGATGGTCAGATTCCAGGGCAGGCTGCGCTCTGAACAATGCCTGGGGAGATACACTTAAAAGGCAGGAGCAGGGGAGACAAGATGGGATCACTTCTCACAGCTGCCCACTGGGGAGCCCTCACGTTGCAAGGACAATGCTCTTCCTTCCAGTATCTAGTCAGCATCTAACCTCCAAGCTGGGAGCTCTTGGCCCCCTGTCCAGCTCCTGTTTTCCCAAGCTAGTTGGGCTGAGTTCAGAGCCGTCACCCCACAATCCTGGGACGGCACACCCGCCTCTCTAGAAAGCCCTTGCCTTGCTTGTTTTCTTTGCTCATTCTGCCACCTCCTGGTAACTCTGATTCTGACATGGTATCAGAAGATGTGATACATGCCTTGCCAAACAATAGGCCATAAATAACAGGATGATAACTTAGAGTGGAAGAGTTGGAGGCAGGTCCCTCCAGCTTTATGAATAGGTATAACTTCAAAGTAAGAGGAGCTTGCTGAAGGCCTTCTCCAGTCAAATCCAGGAAACCTCCAATGGTGGAGACCCCCACAACCTCTTTGGACAAGCATTGCTCCTTGATCGTCCTTGCACTGTTTTTTTTTTTTTCCCTTATATACACTCATAATTTCCCTTGCTGCAGCTAGTAATTTCCCTTATGCAACTTGTAATCCTTTTGCTGCACACTTCTGAAAAAGAAAAAAGCCCAGCTCTACCTTCTTTATAACCCCAATGGCAAAGTTTTCATGTAGAGTTACTGCAATTTTTAGCAGGCTATATCTGAGCCCCTCCACCCTCTCTAGGTTCTATTCCTCTTCACCTGCTCCCTCACTTTGTTTTCAAACAATTTTTTCCACTCACATTCTTCATCTTGCTCCCTTCTATCAGCAGTCTTACAAGTAAGATGATCTAGTGCTAAGCATATATATTTGCTTAGTACTAGAGAGATTAGTGTATTAGCAAGAGTATTCTCAATATATAAAACAAACAAACACAAGGTTTTGGGCACACAAGCCCTCTTTCAGACCTGATGCAAATACAGTATGTTAGTGCTAAACTTTTCAGCAAAGTTTTCTTTCCATTTCAATGTCTGTATCTTACATTCTTGTTTCTCCCCTTTATTCCTTTTGCGATTCTTATTCTCCACCTAAGAACTATGTTGTTACAGTTCACTTTATTTTCACACAGCAATTCACGTTGCTTACTCCAACACTCCACTGCTACATAAAATTTGTCATTCCTAGTCTTGCCCAGAACTGATTTTTGATTCTGCTTTTCTCCCCAGATTTGCTTATCAGCTATAGGACTTTGAAAAATGGGCACTTTCTCTTCTATTCTCTAATTGCTCTATTCTGTTTTGATTCAAATTCTGAAGCAAGCTGATGTAAAAACATTGATCCTATCTTGTGCTTGTTCTGAGGACGAAGTTCTTCCAATGCACAAGTGTTCCTTGCATTAGCTGAGGATTCTGTCACTGCAGGAGACTTTCATCATCCTGTGAACAGGAACAGCCCATACAAGTGGTTTGCAAACACTGCCTGCTATTACAACTCACTGATCTTAAGCCTTGCAGAAAAATCATTCTGTGCTTGGATTGTTTATGGCTGCTTTTTAAAATTTTATTATCAATTGCTGTGACCTCTATTAGACTGAATTACCTGGATCTGAGTGAAAATACCCATAAAAATTTGAATAGCATGTACATGTACAGTGCCCAGACTGCTGTGTGCAATGCAGGAAGAAAAACTGTTTGCAATACCTTATCCTCAAGATCACCTGCCATTTCCTTTTCAACACTGAGATCAATTTCTGGTGATTCTTCAGTTTCTTTTCTTTCTGCATCTAACAAATAAAGCCCCAAGAAAATTCATAAGAAAGGTATCAAAGCATATATTGACTAGAAAAACAAAGAGCATGCTTTTCTACAGCTACTCAGGACTATGAGAAAGTGACTTTTATAGTTTGTAGTTACATAATGGATCCTAGGCTGGGGAAAAACTAATTTTGCAAGCCATGATGGCACACATGGCTCAACTCAGTTTTCCTACCATACAAATTAGCACTATTTCGTTTATGAAAGGTTGGAGATAAGTGTAACCATAACACTAAAAATGCTCTGTAGCAATGTTTTTTACACAACTTTAGTCACAAATTTGTTGTGAGAAATTAATGCCACCCTTTGCAGCTGAAATTATTGGAATATTAATCCCAGTTTTCAACCCTCCTGACAATAAGAGAAATGGCCTATATTGCAACATAGACTTGCTGCCAAGCTTAACAACAATGACAAGAAAGTGTACTTTCAACAAAGTTATGTAACAATTTACACTACCTGAGCATTTGCCCAAAGACAACTTCTATTGCATTATTTTCTATTGATTCTGTCCTAAACCATGGAGGCTTCCCAAAAAACCAGTCTGGTATCAATTATTTTAGCACTCTAAAGACGTAAAAGCATCAAATTTTACTCACCACCCAGAACAGATTCCAGTATTTCATTGGTAGCAAATCTATGCTTCACACTTAATTCCTCAGTACTTTCCTCAGGTGATCTGTCTGTTTCACACACTTGTGACGTTGTTACAGCGGTGTGGAGACTTTCAACTAAAGAGGAAAACATGCAGAATTACACACATCCCTTAAATAGCTCCTTAGTGCATGAATGCACTCAGTGACATAGAAATGTTTGAACATGGAATAATTTAGCTTGTAAGGGACTTTCAGAGGTCACCTAGTCCTACACTTCACTAAAACCTGGTCAGTCTAAATTGTGTTGCTCAGAGCGCTGCACAACAAGCCTCTAATGCCTCCAAAGATGGAAACTTCAAAGTCTCCATGAGCAATCTGTTCCAATTTTTTAACACTCTCATAGCATTTCATTTTTAATTTTAGCTAATTGTATATTTTAGTTAATAGTATATCCTCCCATTAAGCTGCTGTGGACAGAAATGAGATCCCACCAAGCCAGCTACCTCAGTTTGTCTTCAGACATCATGTCCTCCCGCCCTCTAGTCATTCTGGTGCCTTTCACTGGATTTGTTCTACTTTGTCAATGTCTCCCTTGGCCAGGGAAAGTGCAGCATTTGTCATGGCAGCCCAGATAGGACTTACCCTGGACTGCCAGGGTTAAGTAGAGGAAGAATCACCTCCCTCAACTTGCTGGCAACTCTCCTCCTACTGCAGCAGCCCAGGAAGCAGCTGGGCATCTTTGGCACAAGGGCAACTGCTGCCTCATGGTCAACCTGCTGTCGGGTAGCACTCCCAGGTCCACTTCTACAAAGGTATTTTTCAGCTCATCAGTGTCCGGTCTGTACCAACATGCAGGATTATATCACCGGAGATGCAGGACTTCGCATTTTTCTTTGTCAAATGTCTAAGTGTACCTCTTACCATTTTCCCCATCTGTAGGGGTCTCTCCAGCTCACTGAATGCTCCACCTCTTGCCATAACAGTCATGGGCTTGCTAAGAGTGTACTCAATCCTGAGGTTAACTGCATTAATAAAGGTGTTGAACACTACTGGTCTCAGGATACACCCCTTCAGAGAATCCCCTAATAACATGACACCAACTGGATGTCATATGCCATACAACTGACCCCTTCAGCCCAGCAGTCCAGCCTGTCTTCCACCCAGTTAAGCAGTTTACATCAATTCAGATGTAAGCACACTACAGACAGTGCAAACAGTGTGGAAGGTCTGAGAAATGTCAAGGTAACCAACATGCACCCTTCTCTCACCTCAAAACCTGTCAGGTTAGTTAGACACAGGTTGCCCTAATTAATCCATGACAGTTGTTCCAAATCATCTTCCTGTCTTTCAGGTTCTTGGAAATGCCTTCCAGGAGGATTATCTCAGAGATGCTGGTGAGACTGACTGTTTTTTAGCTCTCTATATATTTCTTCTTGGAATGTGAGGCTTGCTTTCTTCAAGTCATCAGGAACCTCTCCTGATCACTGTGACTTTCAAAGTTGACAGAAAACAGCCTCACAGTGACATTGGCCAGCTTGCTGTGCAGCCTTGGATTTATCCAATCTCATCTCATGGATTTGTGTATACCTAATTTGCTTAAGTACTGTGTAATTCTGTCTTTGTCTACTGTAAGCAATGCTTTATTCCCACAGAGCCTGCTATTAGCTCAGGAATTTAGTATTTCCATCCTGGAAAATGATCCCCACGACTTGTCTATAATGTAAACAACTGTAAGCTCACAGAAAGTGTTGTAGAGTCCCAAAATCCAAGACATCATCAACATCAACAACAGCATGAGAGAAAGTGAAAAGTACAGAAGTGGGTAGAATAAGGTGTATAATAAGTATAGGCTTCCATTTCAAGTATTTTCTGTTTCATCCCTGACTTACTACCCTACACAAATTTAATCAATTGTATCAATAAAATGCTCTTTGACTTTATAATGATGATGAAGACCAAGCTCCACTGATTTATAGGTTGAAATGTTGCTAGTAGCACAGAGTTCTCAATTTAGGTGATGCTAAAAAACACAGTTTAGCAGTGCTCCTTTCCACTAAGTTTAGGAGAAGTTTAGTTGAAGATCCAGCTAGGGAAGGTATCTACAAATACCATTCCCTTCCTTCCTTTGTAGGACAGCACTATAGATGGTGCGGCCATCTACCAATATCCTGTGAGATAGTAGGCAGAAAAAACAGGGCTCCTACAGCAATTGTGGCAGGAGTTTCTTGGTAGAAATTTGATTTGCTCTGCAGGAGATCATGCAAGATTCTGAAGTGACATCAAAATCAGCCAAGGTCGGTGAAAGTTGGGGACCAGGCGCAATACCATACAGCATCCAAGCTTCTCCCCTGCTGTGCTTCACAGAGCTGTACTGTGAGGACAGCTAAGAATCTAACACCACGCCCCTGCCTGCGTATTTGATGCTATGCCCTAAACATATCCGTTATTTTAAAGACTGGCAGGTACCATCTCCTGTATCTGACAACAATAAATGTGGCAGACTTTTTTTTCTATGCTGTTTGGCAATTTTTGACACTGCCACTTCTTGAGACTTGATAGAATTGCAACACAAGGCCACATGTCTGCACTTGATTACCTTAAAATATCTGCCCACATGAAGAGCCACCAATCCACTCTTCCAGTGCAAACTCACCTTCTCTGAGTGCTGCTGCCAGCAGTGAAGCAGCCTGTGGAGTTTCTCTGGAATCAGGTTTGATAAGTAGGTGAGGTTCTAAATGGACATCATCAAACCCACACATATCTCCCAGTTCTGCATAAATACGCAACTTTTCTTCTAAATAACTGCAGATTTGCTGGTCCTGGTTACTCAGTGATTCTGTCAACCAAAAATTGAACAGTGCAAAAATTGAAAACTGTGGTCATTTTTTATGCTGCAGGGAAAGCATGCTCCCCATTCACCTTTCTAATCTTTATGCCATGTACGAAGTGCTAATTCAAGTTAAGCTTCATTTAAGTGGCCAGGACCCAAATTCATCCAAGTTCATCCCACAGTCTGTCCAAATGAAAGCTAACATACACCCTTGCAGAGTCTAGGCCAAAGCCCTACCCCAATGAGGTGGCTTTGGTTGCCCTTTCTGGCCCTTATTACTGTTCTTTTCTTACAACAACCTGCTAGTTCTACCTCCTGGAAAAGCACTTGGCTCATGTGTGCTAATAACTCAGGGCCTCAACCTCAGAGAACACCTACTTTCAGCAGAGGATGTGGCTCTCAATAGGACAGACATTGCTGCAATTTCTCTCTTCATGGCAGTATAAAGATGTGGGAGTTAGGCGTAGGGGCACCAAGGAACCAGAATTTATCCTTATTAGCTATATTTGCAGATAAAAATATTAGCAGCAAAGGACAAAGTGCCATAAACAAGCACAAAGCCACACAATTTCGAAGATTCAAGGTATTTTCACAAATCCAGAACTACTTGGTCCTGATGCTAATCTGTGAAATTCAGTGTTTGTTTTGAAAACATCAATTTTTACTTTTATTTTTTAGTTAAAGAAATGTAGCAAAAACATTCTCTTTTACTACACTTATGTTATACCATCAGACCACCTCATCTATCTCTGCTCTGACTCTGCCTGTTGAGCCAGTATAAGTGCATGACTAATTCACCCTGAATGCTGAGGATGCTGGAGCTCTCAGAGCAACAGGAAAGGGTACCACACCTTGATATTTCTGAATTCTGTATGCCTTGGCCTCAGCAATACGTCTGTCCTCATCAGATTCACTCATTTTTACTTCTTCTTCTTCCTCTGGACAACTTCAAAGATAAAAGACAAAGGTGGATAAAGCAAGATCTGAGCATCATATATTCATCTTCAATACAATATTTTGTTGGCAATAAACAGAACACAACACCAGCACCTTTTGCAATAATCCAGACGCATGCCATTTGTCTGCCTCTTTAAGAAGCAGTAAGTGGACATCAAGCAGACTGAAGGACTCCTTATTACTCTGGTAAGGCTGCACTGAGCAGAGGGAGTGGCTGGTGCACACCCACAGGTCTGCTGTCCCAAGCAGAACCTTGGGCCCATCAGAAGCAATGTTTTCCCCACCATTCTTAATGAGCTGATGCCAAGATCACAGGCATGAATTGTGATTTTCTCAAAATGGTTGTATGGACACCTACAGGACTCTGAAGGCAGACAGTGCCAAAGGCAAAGGTGGGGGAAGGCTGGTAAAATGGCTGGTAAGGATGTCTAATGAGGAACAGAAAGGGTCTGTTGATTCAGTGGGAAACCAGGAGGAATATGGGAAGTATGGCAGGGGTGATTAAGAGATTTTAGCACCTTGAGCTCAAAGGAAAACCCAAATTCACAGATAGACCCAGTACAATGGAGAACAAAGAACATCCTGCCATGAATATCCAACCAACCTCCCATCTGCTTTGAACTACCAGCATGAAAACCAAACCCCTTTTTCCCTACCTTTCCACTGCCTCTTGAATATGCCTCATCCAATTGTTACGTTCTTCTTTGGAGCTGGTATGAACCTCATACATCTCAGGCCCCACAGATGAAGCACTGATCAGAAACATCCCCCTTTCTTCATTGGCTACCTCTCTTACAATGAGCTTCTGAAGGGAGATAACTGAGGGCTTCTGGTCCTGCAGGAAACAGTCAAAGCACACGCATAATAAGTTACTTTCTTATAAAACACCACACTCTAGGAAAAACATGAGTTTTCACTAGTTCTGGTATAGTCAGACTACTGAAAGTTTTGAGTAATCAGACATTCTTTTAAACTATTCTTTAAAACATGTTACACTGTCAACAAACAAATTAAGCACTAGATATGTGCTCAAAAGAAAATCTCAGAGGCTCACTGATACTGAGACACAATATTCATATAATGTTTGTATTTATATAGTTTGGGAACTTCTTTCCATGACTTTTCATGTCTTTTATGTGTGTTTACTACTATATTTTCAGTAAAAACTGTTCTTCTGTTTGTTTTATGGAACAAAAAAATTAAAATTTGAATTAGACAACTGAAAGAGCCTGCATTACTTCCCACCTTCACAGTCATGTAAAGCACAATATTAAAGATAAACTTTTGTTATTTTTATCCTTCTCCACAAAAAAAAATTACTTTTAAAAAGAAATTAATTTTTCTACATACTGACATACAATACCAGGATTTTAGAAAAAACATAAGTTATGTGGGAATGAGCTGGATAACGACCTAAGTTTTGAGAAAGATACAAGTAAATGTGCAACATGTGTGTTAAAATATCTGATAATATACTCACAACAGCTGCAAAGATGTATTTTTGATCCTTTTCTTGTAAGAACAGTAGTACATCAGTGAGAAGCAGAGCTAAGGTGTCTTAAAATGAGAAATGGAAAATAATGGCCTTTAATTAAAATTAGTGCAATCAGTGTTAAATTCTTACTTTATCTTTTTAAAATAAAGGGAGAAGCCCTGATGAAGAAATATCTTGTAGAATCCTACAGCAAACTAAACAGGAAATATCTGAAATAGCCCATGGTCTGCATGAAGCATTTGCACATCCCTGCTTGATTTCTCCCAGGAAAGTGCACCATGCTGCAACAGGCCCAGGGAAAAAAGAAATCCTTGCACCAACAGCAGTACAACTTCCCTAAGCCTGACAAAGACTATCTTATATAACCTTGCTTTGTCTGTGCTGTAACTCCCTTTTACACTGGTAAAAGTGTTTCTAGAATAATGATCAGCAGACAGCTTTATAAAGTTGTACAGCAAAAACTAGTGTTTTTTCCTAAAAAAAACCCCAAACCCTAATACATGATTAACACCAAAAATCAAAATCTGAGCTTGCATGTAAAAATTGTGCTCCAGCCAATTGTGGCTTCAGAATTTCTTTTCTACTACGGATGTCTCATTACCATTGAATTGTTAATAAGCTATTTTCAATGGCAAATACTGCGAACAATAAAATGTACAAGTGAAAACATTATATTATGAAATGAAATTGAAAAACAAAAAACTTGAAGGAGGGGATTGGAAGAAGAAATAGAAAATGGTATTGTATGTGAATTTGTGTTCTTACACAGTTTACTCATAGCTTCTGGAACTGATCATCCAGAATTGGCAATACCATTACCTCAGACATTCTTATTTTCAATATAGCACAAGAAAGTATTTTCATTCTTTAACCAGTCTTTGAATGTTATTTGCAAATAAAGAGTTAAAGGACTTTACTGCTCAGATGGAATACCTTTGAACCGACCAGTCGCTGTCTTCCAATACACTAAGCCTTCATGAAGAAGGATCCTCTCTTTCCTCATCAAGTCTTGCTTCCTAAAAACATGGCCATTTTTCAGCTTTGTGTATGTTTTGTTTTCAGTTCTACAGAGAATTTCCAACAGCTTTTGCTTTTTCTCATACTCATTCACTTTCAAATCTACTGTTGCTATTATATCCTTAATTAGACGAAGGGCTTTGCACAAGTCTTTATGTTCTTCTGTTCCTTCTGTATGAAACAAAAAAAAATAAACAACATGACACTAGTCACCATGTTCAAGAGAAGATATAATTCCTTGATTTAATTCCTTGATTTCTAGAAACAATCAGCATGATGCAAACCTCAATTGATAAATTTTTCAATTTAAATTTGAACCTTGCAACCATTTTACTAGAATTATTAGAGGTATATACCTTTGACTCACCTATTAAAAGATGGCCAGTACCTCAGATTTATTCATTAGCCAAAAAAACACGTTGAATAGTTTCTGACGTATTTATGAGGTGTGAGCGCTCAAAAAATAAATCAGTGGCCAAGTAAATCATATAGCATATTATTTTTCTGGCTAAACAAAGTACCCTTGAAACAGGATTGCAAGTACAAAGGATTTGCATTGTATATGCAACTTTCTACAATGCTTATTTACTGCCCATTTAGGGGGCAATATCTGTAAGTTAATAGTAATTGTAAAAAGTTATACTAAGTTCCAGAGCGCATTCAAGCTTTGCCTGAAAAAACAGAGAGTAATTTACAAAATGTTTCCCCAGCCCTACTTAGAAAAGGCTCCTCCAGAATAAATTCCAAAGGTACACATGTATCTGAGCTAGTTCGCATACTTCAGTCAAGGTCTTTTCCTAAAACAAGTATGTTCTTCTGGACTTCTATGGCCTACCTGGCTGGAATATCAGAAATCTTCACCTAGAAGATACACAAGACCTATATAGACCAGACAGCCCTGTTCAGGTGACATTTGCCTGAACAGTAGGTATTTATGTTGCTCTGGTTGTATCTCTACAGAGCAGTAAATTTAATCTTTTGTGATATTGTAGCTGTGCAAATTCCTTATGTTAGAATTGTACTAGGATTTCAGACATGAAGCAACACTTTAACTTTTATTTACCTTTTGAGTATTGCAATATCCTTTCAACCAGAACAGGGTATTTGGTGATTCGCTGGGTGACGAGCAAAATGCATTCAGGGATTCCTCGGCGTCGTGCCAACAGGTTGCTATTTCTCAGCTGCACAAATGTAAATATATACCTTAGGTAGTAAATGCATATTAAACCACCAATTGACTAATAAGAAATATGATCTAAAAGCATTAGAATAAGTTAAAACAAATGCTGGGTAATTGGAACCATCCCCAAGGAACAGTTGCTGTGCTGAGGGATGAGGCATACTGTAACAGGAACATGTGTGTAATACACACTGGATGCCAAAGCATTCTAAAATTTGAAAGAAAACTGTGATTTATCAGCTCACTAGTTAAGGAGAAAAAAACTTTTGCCATTTTTATTAGCCATTTAAAGTGAGTTACTGAATATAATTCCAACCCTAAATCTAAGTAATAGCTATGCACCTTTTTCCTGAGCACTTTGTCAGTAGTGCTCATGATTCCACATTAACTTACTTTAATAAAATTCTGGAACTTCTTGTTTTGTTGCAGCTCTTTGAAGAGATTAACAGCTTCTTTCTGATGGCTACAAAACTCTCCGTATATTTTCTCCATTTTAGTTGCATTTTCCTCTGAAAACTGAAGAAATTCATAAGTGGATTGTGCTCAACATTCTATCTAACAGGAAACTGAATTTTAACTAGTGAATGTTGTACAAATTGGGAACTTTTACATTAAGAGTTTATCAAGTTCTCTGAATTTCACTAGCCTGTCTGTAGGCCTGTCACTACAGAATGAAAATATGCTAGCTGTTTTTAGGAGCAAGAAGAGGAATGCAGGCTGGAGAGAGCACAAGCAACCTCCACTGTACTCTTGCCAGTAACAGCCAGAACATTGTAACAGCATTTCCTTCACCTCTTTACAAACACGACCCTCTGAGGTTCATTTACTTTTGTCCCATCTCCACATTGTTTCTCGATAAGCTAACATCTCAGCTCTTTATTTAGCGGAGTTAAAAAAGACTGACAGAAGGTGAAAAACGACACCTCCCTTTCACAAGGAAGGTGTGAATGCCAAGCCATCAGTTAGCTATTCTTCAGCCACAGGAAACACCCTGCAACCACACCTTCCTTACTGAGCAGTATCCTGGGATATAACTGATCTGGGATGCCAGATTACTGCAAGAAATTAATGGGTAGTTTCCATCATCAGTTCTTCACATCTCTCCTCAGCTGACAAAGTGAATCCATTACTTCCGTTTTTTGCAATCCGTAGTATGACAGAAACCTTCTACTGCAAACATGACCAAGTTCATCGCTTCCCTTGTCACTCACCCCAAGTTCACACAGCTACATCACACTAATGATATCTTTTCGCATTGTTCTTTCACCCTGAAATAATCAGGGGAGGACAGGTTTTGAATCTTTTTGAGCAGCCATAATTGTCTACTCACCCACAGAAGTTTTGGAGTAAAAAAACTGTTTAAATTTGGAACTCTGAGCACTTGAAGGATTAACAGAACTGATGCTTCTACCTGCTGCACAAGGATGTCTCCAATTCTGCTGATGACAAAATTACGCTCATTCCCTGCTGTACATGATTCCTGCCGCCTGTCCTTCATTCTGCAGAAGAATTGCCTGTGCACCTCCAGTAGCTCATCTAAGCAGGGGAATATTCTGTCCACTACGCTGTGGTCAAGCTGCAGTTCTTCCTTCATCCCCTTCCTGAATATTTCAGACATAATGAACAGGGTATGGATGTGATGTACTTCTGTTTGCATCAGCTCTGTGGTATAAAAGAAAAAAGGATAGTGTAGTAATCACCTGAATATTCTGCACACCCTATAAGATAGCCTTTAGTCTATCAAATACACAGTCATAATTCCTGTTTGGGCGTGAGCCTCAAACCTAATCAATCATGTCAGCAGGAAGACTTAATTTATCTGGCTCTGACAATTCTCTCTGTATCCCACTGAACAAGCTGTGGTTTTAATAGCTTGAGCTGAGGATCAGATAAGGCCCCTTCTAATTTCAACCATTCTGTGAACAGGCTAGGTATGTCTCTGGTAGCCACTACTATAAATTTCCTTAGTTTAGGAGACATACTTTGCAATAAAAATGTTCTTTGAACCTTCATATTGTTTTGAGTTGAAGCACTCATCTTCATTCTTCTGGCCATAAACCATGTAAGGTTCCCTCTCTATTTGATACACCAAATAGCATTTAAACCTACACACAGCTTTGAAATACTGACCAAATATGACATCCTGCCGCTTGACGACATCCTTTTCTTGCTTGCTACAGAACATTGGATCCACAACAAGACTCCAGGAGTCTGCCTCAAACTCTTCTGCATCTGTGCAGAGATCAGTCCACTGAGACAAATCCACATCATCTATGACAAAATTTGTATTTCTTTAACACCACACGTACAAAGAGTAAGGGAAGTCCCTTGGCACATGTAGATCTATTCATATAGGGAACACATCACACAGATGAACATCACAGGTAAGACTTCTGCAAATGCTGGCACTGTCTTTACTACAGCAAAGTTTGCCAGATGTGAATACTATTACCAAAGTGTTGAATTGCTTTTGCGACAGAAGGGGAGGAGAATAGGTAAAAAACACTCTTCTTTCCTCAAACCATTTTTATAACTCTTTGCTTGCATAAACCTTTTAAAATTTAAAAATAAAATTCAACATTTCCAATACCAGATGTCCAGTGAGTGGTATGTGCACCATCCTACGTAAGTGAAAGCCCTTCAGCTTTCAAATTCAGTCTCACACCTAGCTACACAAAAAATCAATTTCTATTTGCTTCATAAGGCTATGCAGCTATTGTAACAGCACAGCTTATTATCAGGAGTTAAGAATTTGGGCTACTGAGGAAATACAAGTGTTGCAGGTTTACAATTTGCAATGGACACTGTCAACAGAGTTATCTGGATGAGTGCAAAAGAAAAGTGTATTACTGTTCTGTTTCTGAAGGGATGCCAGTACATTTATCCCTGTTACTTTAAAATGGTAATTGCCTACTAAAATATTCCAAAAGTTATAAAATGGTTAGTTACAAGGAAGAAAGGAAAAGTTCATTTTTAAGATTAATGTGTTTGATTACATCATTTTAAAGAGGGATGCAAATGTAATTATCAAAAGTAAGTGCTCTTCTTTGAGAAGATGAAGTGTCTTCCTAAATCAGCTAAGGAGTTTTTCTGGTTTTCACTTTCCAATACTAGCTATAAGATGCAACATCTGTGCAATATTCTCACCTTCCATCATAAAAGCATCCATTGAAGAAAAGGTCCCTAATGCTTGTAACATCTCTTCAGACTGTGACTTGGACTTCCAGGTGCTAGTCTCAGAGTCTTGTCCAGAAAATTGTGTAACTCTTCTAGAGCAGAAATAAAATTACAAAAACCCACATTTATTTCATGATTTAAGTCTTCCTAGAAATCCTGAAGGATGTATTTAGCATAGTCCATTGGCATCTGCCCCTCTACCTTTCCAAACTGGCACTGGGGACACTTTTGGACAAGAGGTAGGGCTGTTGTGAGGCTTCTCTCTTTCCAGGAGACAGTCCAATAGGCACTGAGAAAGAAGGATGCACTGAGGCCAGCACGATCTGTGAAATGTCTCCAGGCAGGGAATCTGCGAGGCAAAGCACAATGCAACATTTTGAGAAACACTGAGTTTGTCATTGTTTGACAGCATATGTCACCAAAAGCACACTTATACTGAGAGATGCTATCTGGTGTTCACATTGACCTACATCAGGCATCAAGAATGCCCACTTGCCAAGGTACATGACCTCAATGCTCTCTCACACAATATAAAAATAAGCCTGTAGGCAATATGGAATAGCCCCAGAGTGACTATCACTTGATAAAGAAATAATCTCAAATCATACATCCTCTATAGGTGTATGAATACTTGTGCACAAGATAAATGACGTAGACAGAACTGGCTACTTTTTTTGTTGTTTTCACTGAAGGTATAGTAAATTCATACTCATTTTAATAGAAGACGAGTGTGTCTTTAGTAGAAGAAAGGGTGTGCCCTTTCTTACAGATATTGAAAGAAAAATTAGAAACAGAGAAATTACATGGGAAAGCTCATGCTGTCAGTCCCACGATTTTTAATCAAGGCCTACCTTAGAAATGCTAGGTTTATACCTACTTGTTACACCAACTTGGACCTTGTTTCTACTATGGTATTTCTCCTGGGATTTCTGAAAAAAAGAATTTTTGGAAATCACATAGCCGATAATATATTTAACAGTCAAGTCAGTAACTCATTCACATACACCATCACACAAAGGGCTACAAGAAAGTGGTCCTAAATTATGGTATTAATTAATTCCAATAACTAATTGTATTAGTCACTGATAGATAATAATATTCAAAGTAGGATATTATTTGTACTACAATACATAACTATTTCTTCTAAGCAGACTGAGTTACAACATTCTACTTTCTCTATATGAGTATTGGCTGCAAAGGCTGCAAGAAAAGTGCACATTCAGGGCTTCATACTCAAATAAGATCAAAGCATTTGTGGTAGTACACGATCTGAAGCATGGCTACCAAAGGCAGAACTGTTCCCCCTTCCAAAGGGGACTTTTGCAAAATCTGTGCTAAAAGCCTGCTGTACTTGGGCATATACTTCACTTCAAGTGTGTCAGTGAACATTTCCTGCACTGCATTCTTGCTGACATGAGTTGTAGGCCCTTGTGTCCTCTTGCAAGTAACCCACCATCCCCAGGAACCAAAGCTGTCAGTTCAGCAGTCTTAATGCCTAAAGTTTCCCAGAAATTAGTGCAAGACCATGACGTGAAAATTATAAACAAAATTAAACCCACTTGATTTATGTACAGTTTAAGGCTTGTACAATCAGTACGGAATCATGCTCTCCTTGAAAGCCACCATGATGCAAAACCCAGCTACACCAGAAAGACACACTCCACAAATGTGAAAAATGACCTGCATCACTGTGGCACATTTCTCTTCAAGTCCCATTTTATTGCTTGAGGGCAGTAGCCTTACACCTGGTTTTCAAGATTATGCCTTTGTTATGATAACCTCACCATGCATGTATTCCTTCTTAACTGCTAAGGTAGTATCCATCAGCTCCAGTGCTGGTTTTGCCCTGCTCAGAAGCAGCTGAACACTGGGAGCAATTGCCTAGGCAGGCAGCTGTGGAGTCTCCTCCTACAGAGATTTCCCAGAATGGGTGAAACAAACATCTGCCCAAATTGCTACCTAGAACAAACATCTGCCCAAATTGTTACCAAGAAGTGAGCCAGCCCAAGGGTGGGGAGCTAGATGAGGTCACGGCCAGAGCCTCTTCCATCTCTGCTTTCCATTATTCCAAACATATGAAATCCCCCCTGTACACAAGGGCACTTTCTCTCTGAGGTTTTGAGAAGCCTTTCTTTTCAACCTGTTCGGTAACCCTCCAGGCACACCGTTTCACAGTCTGAGCTTCAAAAATACAAACACTTTGTGAAACTGTTTTTTGACCCCCTAGTAAAAATTGTTATTCAAGCACACAGAGCAAACAGTGCTTGCTCTGTTGCTCACATTAGCCATTCTAGCACCCTTGCAGCCCTTCACACACAGACGCTTGGTCTGGGCAGCCTAAGTGTATTTTTTTTTTCCTTCATTGTTTCCAGCCCCTTGGAAAGCAAGTATCCTCTAGTAAGATCAGTGTAGGAGGTTACCTTGGTGCACACAGGAGCGCACTCCTTGCAGCTTTTATGCACAATCACACTGCAATCTGAAAGAGAAGGTATGTTTCAAAGCCTGGCACCAAACAAGGTCCCCAGTCTGCAGAAAATGTTCAGTTTTCCCTTTTACAGAGAAAACTCGATATTCACTTATTAAAATGATCCTTAGGATTCTTTGAGTACAGATATAGGCTAGAAGGAAGTTTCTGCCTAATGTGCTAGGGCTAGGAGATCAACACGTCTTTCTGAATCTGTTACCTGCTGTCCTTCCTCCCTCTCCCTTGTCAACCTCAGCTCATTACATAAAGCATGTACATCCAAATGATGACAAGGTTTCAAACATCACACTGAACCAGGATGTCAGAACAGCACTTAGAGCACTGTAAATGCACAAGTAAAAGCCAGCAGCTACTTACAAGAACACTGCAGTGACTCCTTTCCTAGGAGGGCCTTTTCACAAACCATACATGGGATAACTCCTGGGAAAGTCCCATTTGTAAAATTGTGCCTGGTTGGTTTCTCCTTATCTTTGGTATCTTTACTTTTTGTCTTCATCCCCAAAAACAGAGGCAGGAAAATAAATAAATAAATAAATAAATAAATAAATAAATAAATAAATAAATTTTAAAAGTTAAATAAATAATTATTTAAATAAAACTTATTCAATCTTAAAAATAAAAAAAATATTCCCATATCAACCCAAATGATTCTAGAATATTTAGTCCCTGTCCTGGACGACTTGCAACAGCATACTCTACTCTTACACCCAATACTGCTAAAGCTCTAAAATCACATAGGCCTTTTTTTTTCTGGCAGCTGGGCCTGGAAGCATTATCAAGGAAGACTGGCAGAAATACATTTAGAAATCTAAAAAGTGAGGAGGGACAGGAAACAAAATTTTAGAAGTGCTGATCATTCACTGTACGCACTGTATATATCTTCCACATGTATATAGCTCATGCCTCTGCAGATAGAGGTGCAGTTATGCAAATTTAGAAAAGTTATCTTTAGATCTTAGAAGACATTAGAAAGAGAACCCACAGACACAAGCTGCACAACCAGACACATATATGTTCACATGTTCATGGTCAGCCCTGACACTCCTGAAGGTACTGCCTCAGACAAACACCTTCACATCTGTGTTTGTTAGGTTGTCCTGGGGCACAGGAGCGCATACTAGGGAGCCTGCAAAGCCATCAAAAGGCCACCCAGAAAGAGCCTGGAGGCCAAGCCCGTCTTTCGAGCTGCTGACTGATGTCATTAATCTAAAATTAATATGCCTTAGAATTAAGTTACAGTGTTGTAATCTACCTTCTATAGTAGGACTGTTCGCCTGTGCAGGCCTCAATTCTCAAACTCTTTAACACTATACATTGTTTACTTATGCAAGAATTCCCATTAACTTCAAATAAGACAAATTCAACTAATTACACCCTAATGTAGAATTTTACATACTCAATTATGTTTTAAGAGCAATTCCAAGAACAGGCCCATATCTCTTAATTTTATTTAAGAAAGAAAATATTTCTTAAATGTAATTCATGCATTTAAATATTTGCTAAAGCACTACACAGAATTCCTAATGACATCAAAGCAAAGCTGGTTTTTAATACAAATGCCATTTCAGGGTAACCTGCACGTGTTTTAAATTTAAAAAAAGAAAAGTGAAAAGAGTCTTCCTATGACTTTTGTGGTTTTGTAATAAACAATTTATCTTTACATGAAAAATCAGCTTCCATCTATAATACACTTAATTACAGTGACATAATCATATGTAATAATATGGACATAAATCCCAAATTACCTTGCCTTTATTCCGTGTGCTGGTCATCCTGTTCATCAGAAAGCTGAAAGTCCGACTCACTTTATATTTTTCAGACTCATTTTTTGAGGGTACAACATATTTATTCCATCCTTCTTCCTGTATCCTAAACAGAGACCAGTGAAAAAATGTTCCTCACTCTTTTAATTAACAGCAACACTCCTTTAATTAACATATAGCAGAATCCGGACAGTGCTTGTTTCACCTAACATTTACAATTACATGCTTTGTTGTGGGTTTAACTTATTATGAAAAAGATTGCTATTCCTATACAAAAAGAAGCAACACTTGCCGATAAGCACTCTGCATGTGCAATGTGTAATAAGCTTGCCTATGTTACAGCTGGTATCAAAAGCCACCCAGCTTTTACTGCAGTGGTTTGGACATTCCTACAGTGGACAGGAGCCCCAGCAGCAGGCAGCAGCCCATCCCTGCTTTGCACATCCCAGTAAATCCCTGCTGTAGGATGTGTGCAGTGAGAGCTGGGTTGAGCTTGGCACACGGTTAAAGCATGAGTTCACAGAAGCCAGGAGCCTCTACCCCACTGCTCAAAGCCCACGTGGAAGGAAGGTCTCTTGCCCAAGGGCTCCCTAGATGGCATTCTGGCACAGACCTGCTGCCGGCTCTCCGTGACACACACCCGTACCTTTGCTCCCGGCACTGCTCGGGCAGGCTGTACGCGCACTCTGCAAGACACAAACAGCCACAGGGCACTCACACTGCAAGCTCATCTGGCTCATTTCAAACTCACAACCTCCACCAAGCCATAAGGCTACCATGGAGGGTTTGCAATGTAATTTGAAAATCAGGAAGGCAAAAGCATACATATATTAGAAACAGCTTTTTCTAGGTTAAGACCACTTCCTACTAAGCTTTTAGATGACAGGCTCTGACAGAACTGAGAAGGCCAGTCCCTGCAAACAATTCATGCTGTTTTTAACAGCAGCATAAATTATTTCTTTTGTTTTTCTTAACAACATAGACTTGAATGACTCTCCCTTCATTTTGCTTTTCATATAATTTGTTATAAAATATCTTAATGACATTATTCTATCATTTGCAGCTACATATCTTATGCAGCTTTATTAAAAAAAATCCTTCTACACAAAGAGGAATACTACTACCTTAAGTATTGTCTAGGATGTTTAATGTTCTACAAATTTGTATCTTCAACAATTCTACGATTCTATAAACACATGACCCAAGGCGATACTTTTCACAAGCTCTCTAAAAAGCAAAATAAAAGAAAAACAATTCAGTTGGGTTGTTTTGGACAAAAATAAGCCCAAAACTGTAGAGAACACTACCATTTTCAAATTAAAAGCCACTTCCCTTTTGCAGATGTTTTTAGCAAAGCTACCACAGGTACGGTTCAGAAAGATACGTGCTTGCTTAAGTCAAAGCACCAGACTGTGCTTTCTTTGAAGTTAGATACAGGCTTAAACACTCTTCAGAGAAATGCAGACATCAGGTTAGCAAGAGCTAGAATATTTACCAAAGAGGCAGCAAAACAAAATGGGCATTTCAGTTAGCTGTCAGGCACAATCTGTGCCACAGGAAGCTTCTGTAAGAAATCAACACCGCATAATCATAGGAGATGTCTCATGCAAAACAGCACCGTGGAGCTGAGACTTGGAGAGTGTAAGGGCCTGGAGGAGGAATGAGCCACTGTTCATGAGCACACCATCTACAGAGCAGGCACAAATCCTTTACTGTTACAGCCTGGTAAAACCCTGTCAAATAAAGGCAGGTAATATGTTTTAAATCTGAGCACATTTTAAAGTTTGCACAAGAAAAGGATGGTGTTTTGCCTCTTTTTTTCTCATATTTTGTGTGGAAAAAAACGTCCTGTTGTCATTCTGAATTCATCGGAATTAGCTTAGATTTTTTTGCAATGTGCAAGGGCAGCTGCATCTCCTTCTTGCACAGCTAAGCCCTAAGCAAGATGTCCAAAGTGTTGGCAGCTAAGCAGAGGTGAAGGGGGAGGTCTTCCATGTGCAGACGCCTGCACAGGCCCAGACATAATCCTGCTACAGTCCACAGAGATCAGGATGAACTACTTGAGCCAGCTTCTTGGACCAAGTTCCCAGGCTAGTTACACACCCAGATAAAACTGCTCGAAGTGAGCACAGGTGTGCCTGCCTCACACAGTAATCACCACTGCTAGCTGCTAAACACTGTGTTCAATGCTCCCATACTTGGAAAATGCTGGCAAAAAGAGGCACAGTGCAGGAGGTGCTGGTGGAAGGAAGTGCCGGCAGGAAGCTCAGCAGACCACCACCCTCCCTCCCAGCATTACACTGCATCTGTGGTGCAGGCGTAGAACACCCTGCTTCTAAAGTCTGGACAAGAATGGGCTTCCACCTTCTCCAACAATGACTGTCCCATAAGGAAGAGAAGAAAGAATGAAAAGAAAATGGACCCAAGCCCATACTAAATCAGGGCAAGTAATGATGTCTGGGTGAAACTTAAGGGGCTGTGACACCAAGAAAGTCCCTCAGCTGCGGTATCAAAGGAATTCTAAGTTTAAGCATGATGCAGGGCTTTACTATTCTGCTAGCTTTTAATTCTGTGAGCTTCTAGCTTTTTCTTCTAGTCTTTTTCAAAGACTTTTCACCTAAAGCGTTGAATATAAATACTTACAAATACTTTAGGAGATGGATGAAAATACAACATAGCTGCATCCTGCAGGCTGCAATACTTACTCCTTTACAAGGTGACATGAAATCATACCGTGAGTTTGAGTAACATGATAGAAGTTATTTGCTGCACTGCTTAATTCAGTTTCTTAGGAAAAAAGAAGCCTGCAGACATTGTGTATCTCACCCCCCCAACAGTTTTTGAAGTTAAATGCTTTCAAAGTTAATGACACCATTTTCACCCTTTTTGTATGTTTCATTCACATTGAATATCGAATAATCAGAGTGGTTAGGGTTAGAAAGGCCACTCTGTATCACTTATGATCAATCCTAGTTTAACCAGGGACACCACAGATAACTGGAGGTTTGCAAGTGTGATGCCCATCTACAAGAAGAGTCAGAAGTGGGATCTGGGGAACTACAACCTTGTCAGCCTGACCTCGGTGACCTCAGTGCTAGGGAAGGTTACGGAATAGAGTATCTTGAGAGTGACGACTGGCACATACACGACAACCAGGTCATCAGGCCCAGCCAACTGAAAAAGCTGGCAGTTCATGGCTTGGACAGGTGCACTCTGCTGGATAAAAAACTGTCTGAACAGCTGGGCCCAGAGAGTGGTGGTGAATGGAGTTATATCCAGTTTTGAGTCTGTCAGCAACACTGTTCCTTACGGGACAGCACTGAGGCCAATTGTGTTTCGTATCTTTAACACTGACCTGATGAGGACACCAAGTGCACTCTCAGGCAGTTCACAGATGTCACAAAGCTGGGTGGGAATGCTGATCTGCTGGAGGGCAGGAAGGCTCTGCAGAAGGATCTGGACAGGCTGGATCATGGCTGAGGCCAATAGTGTGAGGTTCAACAAGGCCCGGTGCTGGTCCTGCCCTTGGGTCACAACAACCCCAGGCAGCTCCACAGGCTGGGGCAGAGTGGCTGCAAAGCTGCCCCAGGAAAAGGCCCTGGGAGTGCTGGTGGCAGCAGCTGAGCATGAGCCAGCAGTGCCCAGGTGGCCAAGAAGGCCAATGGCATCCTGGCCTGTGCCAGCAATGGTGTGGCAGCAGGAGCAGGGCAGGGACAGTCCCCCTGTGCTGGGCACTGGTGAGGCCACACCTCAAATCCTGTATTGAGTTTTAGGCTCCTCACTCCAAGAACATTGAAGTGCTGGAGTGTGTCCAGAGAAGGGCAACAGAGCTGGTGAAGATTCTACAGAGTAAGTCATATGAGGAGCAGCTGAGGGAGCTGGGGCTGTTTAGGCTGGAGAAAAGGAGGCTCAGGGGTGACCTTCTCACTCTCTACAGCTGTCTGAAAGGAGCGTGCAGCCAGGTGGGGGTCGGCCTGCTCTCCAAGTCTACAAGTGACAGCACAAGAGAAAAGGCCTCAAACTGCTTCAAGGGAGGTTCAGGATGGACATCCTGACAGAAGAATTTGCTCATTGAATGGGTAGACCTTGGAGTAATTTCCAACCTTAATTAGATTATTCTATCTAGTTCCAACCCCTCTGCCACAGACAGAGATGTCACCATTAGACAAGGCTGCTCAAAGCCCTCTTCAACCTGACCTTGAACACGTCCAATGATACAGCTTCCAAAACTTCTCCAGTTGTCCACTGTGGCTTACATGTCCTGTCTCTAGTGAAAAACTGAAGGTATACTGGAGTGAGAAACAAGCTGGAAGTATGGCAATGGACAGGCTTTTTTAAAATATAACCCGTATCCTTACTGAGAAAAGTGTGTGTTGTCTTCTAAACATGAAACTATGTGTCTGGAAATAAAGCATGTCAGACACAAGTCATAAAAAATTACAAGCTTCTTTCAGAGACATCTCTGACTCTACTTGATGAAGTGGGTGGGTTTTGCTTCCCAGCCTGTAAAGATACCACAGCCCACCTGTGTTTCAGAGATTGCTTAGGATCTGTGGGAAGCTGGAACCATCTGTCCTATTTGATGCCTCTTCTGTATCATTCTGAGCTTCCTCCTGGTCTCTGTCAGACACTTAGCAGAAGGCTAGGGTAAGGATCTTCCAATGAGAGGATTATTGCCCTTGTTTATATTCGTTTCTGTGGCTATTGCTCTCTCCATTTGTATGCCCTGTCAAGGACAGTCGCTGTATCATGGGGGCATGATGGGACTGTAGATGGGAGAAAATGGAGGGATGATGGTGGGGCTACCATCTAGTAACTACTACTAGCCCTGAAGGAGCTACCAAACACACACCCTGGTGAGCTCTGTAAAGTAACATCAGCACTGGGCCTGAAGTAGGCAGGTATTGAATAATGTAAAGCCAGAGAACTGACCTCCATTTGAATCCCCAGCTCCAAAATCACGAGGAATGCGAGGTCTTCCCACCACACCTTTGGATGAGGAGTAGGAATAGGAGCGTGACCGAACTCCAAACACTGTGCATTCCTATGAGAAATTGCAGCAAATGAAATCTTGTGTCATTTTGAACTGCATCAGCAACAAAACCAAAATAAATCAGGAAAAACTGACCAGTGAATTTTCTTGGCTTCAAGTTGAATTTTTGACAACTTCATGTGAATTCCTAGGAAGTCTGCCATACTTTCACCATGACAAATTTTTGTATGCTACAGGAAATAAGTTATGGGTGCAAGTTTGACTAAGAGAAAAAAAGAAAGCTTGCATTCTTCTCCAATTTGGTAACCGGTGACATCCACACAGTATTGCTGGCCATTACTTCTGATGACCAAGCTATCTCCTTTTACCAGGAAGGCACTGATCTTATTTTGATACTTGAACAACATTTCATGGAGACTTTGGCCATGCTTTAGTAATTACTGATGTCAGAGTTTCCAAAGAAAGGAGCTGACCTCTTTTTCTCTTCTGTATGTTGTTTTTTGCTTTTTTAATCATTATCATATTTGAAAACATTTTCCACTTACCAAATATCTCAACAATAAGACCTGAAAGGAAATCCCCTAATTTTTGATACGTCATTTACACTTAAATAGAGACTATTCCTAAAACTCCTGTAAAATGCTTACCTTATTGGTTTTTAAAGTAGCCCTATCATAATTAATTTTTTTGCTGAACTCTTTTTCTCCCTTCATGAAATCATTTGCTGAAGGTGAGATAAAGTTCTACAGTGGCAGAAAGTGCATCTAAAAAAATCATAAAGAATCTCTGCAAACAAGAAATAACTCTATGTATGTGTCTGAAGACCTCAGAAATGACACCATGGTCTAATGAAAATTAATGCAGATAGGACACTTCAGAAAACCAAAACAAAGAGATTTACATCAATCAGTGGACACCCCAACTGAATTTCCCTGAGTGTAGAAATTGTTGTAAAACAGGCGGCAGGCTAGTTTTACTCTTTACAAACCATTACTCTCTCACGTAACTAGAGCTGGTTAAACATTTTCTCGCTAAATATATTTTGGTTAAAAAATGCTGATTCCCTGAACCTGAAACATTTTCTTTGAAACACTTCCGTTAGATGGTGTGTTTTTTAAAGCTGAGGTAAATCTCTGATGGACACTTTCTTCCCATGGCAGGTGCCCAGCTCAGCCACACCCAGTTTCAGCTTCACAACTCAATGTGAGTGGTCCCTGGAGAGACTAGGACTGCCAGCTGGGAATTCATCTTTCTCCTTCAGATTCAGACGTTTCTCGCACAGTTTCAGTGATTTACTTAAAAGGAAAACAATTCAAACCAAGACAGGGTCAAATACCTTGGGCTGCAGACTGGTAGTTAAGTCCAATCCATCTCTGCTAGAAGCCATGGCCTCTGAAGAGCTGAGGGGACGGTAGTGAACATGGGATCTGTCCGACACACCTCCACTTCCATTGTCTACTTCAAGGTCATCAAGACTTGAACTGAAGAAGACAACAAAGTCTTTAACTTTCCTGAGTTCCTCACAGCAATTTACTTCAACCTTAATGCGATAAGCAAAGTTCTGGCTGAATCCTCTGACCAATGACAGCCCAAAGCACCATGACTATGTCAGGTAAACCATGCCCTGAGGTGTCCCTCAGGTCCGCAGCCCCCTGGTCAAGGCAGTCAGTTTCCCTGTCCAGGACCCTCTGACGCAGTCTCACAGATCTACAGTGCAGGTATCTGCATCACCCAGGATCACACACACTCCCACCATAGCCAGCCACCTCTGGATCATGAGTTTTAGACACATGCTCAGCATCTCCCGAAAAATAAAATTTTTTGTTCCAGGCATAAACCTGTCTCACATCAAAGAAGATAAGGAGAGCTGAGACAGTAAGGGGAACAGAGAGAACTACCTCAGATTTTAGTATACATGAGTAAAGATGGATACTATGTACGTGTGTGTATTTGGAAGATATGACATGGCTGTTAACAGACATTTTTATCTACATCTATGACTTCATGACAGAAGATGGAAGAGAAAAACATGAAGAAGAGATTAAGGAGGGTCTTGAGATAGTTTATGAGGTTCAGTTCAAAAGACAGACGTCAAAAAACATAGAGAGCAACAAGCACACTGAAAAATCTCTGGCTAAATCAATATGTCAAACACATAGAGACTACTTTATTGGAAAAGGTTCCTGAACAGGAGAGTGCACTAAAGCTGCACAGCAGTATCAGAGTTTTCCTGGATGAGGCCTGTTACCTGCAAGAGCAAGTTCATGGTCCCTTCATTAGAGTGTGAAAGGAATGGTTGACTGCTTGCAATAGCATTCCAGCCTTGCAACATAAAACTTTAAATTATGTGTGGTATTTCTAAATAGCCAGAGTTCCTACCACGGATAATAGCACAAAAATTCCTTCACACACCACTACTGTTTTGAAGCACAAATCTATCACTACTGTCTGAAACTGCTTCATTATTACAATTCTGGGGACAATATTTTGCAATGTTTCAGAATAACAGCCCACACGACATATCAGAAGCAACTTATATAAATGCATTATCAGTTACTGTCACATGTTAAAATTGAAAAAGCAGTACATGTCTGTGTCAACAGACAAGTATCCATGACTTACTGTGGTAACTTCTCTAGGGAAATTCTCTGACATAAGAAGCTGGTTTAAGAACAGAATAACATATTATTGGTCTTATTTTATGCCTAATATTTGGATCAATTACATATGTCATATGACATATTAAGGCAAATCACATGTCTCTGAAAATTTATATACACTCTTATACAGGTGTATATATTTATATACAGTTCTCATACAGGAACCTAACCAAGGTCTTAAAAAGGGTGGGACTGTTTAAAAATATATAGGACAAAAATGGTTCTGACTAGAGGCACAGGAAGATTACAGTATTCTACATGACATTCCTATAGCTAGCAAGAAAAAGCAAACAAAAAAAAAACCCCAAACAACAACAAACACCAAAAAAAGAGTGTGAAAGAAAAACTCTGCCTGACATTTATTATATTATCTGTGTTAAAAATTCCTGCTAGTGGCACTTCATAGTTGCATAAGAAACTCAGAATTCAGGTAGAGAAAATCCTATTGCCCATTTTAAATAATAATTGGCTGGCCCTTCTCTTCCTTGCTGCTTTTACATAGATCTGATGCTCTACTTCCAACTAGTCCTAATACTCCCCAGAAGGTGGGAGCAAGACTCAGATTTCCTCCTGCATAAGAAGGAATCTTGTCTATTCAGAGAAGTAATAAAGCTTTTTCATCAAGAAAATTTATTGTTAAATTGTTTAATTTTAAATTAATTGTTAAAAATCCACGTTTAATGACCAAAATTATAGTTCCATCTTCAAAGCTCTCTGCATTTCTGAAGCCGTTTGGAGAAGGGTCTTCAGACAAATGGCAGCAAACCTTGGGTACCAGCCATGGAGAGGAAAACAGTCTGAACCTAACAGCAGATACACTCTGCACTGTGTCTTTTGAGATAAATACCTATGGAATCAGGAGGCCTTCTACAGGCCTATTTAAAGACTTGAAAGATTCCCAGAGAGTTCAACAGATTTTGGATAATTTTCTTAACGGAACATATAACTGAGGAAAACCACACTGAAATTCTGTTACCTGTCAAAAATGCCACAATGGCAGTGACAGTGAAGAGCTGATTCTTTTTTTTATTTGTCAAGACTATTTGCATACAAGAAATAAAGGTATAAAAGTATCCATTTGCATTCAAGATACATTTACTAAGAAGGCATTTTTATGTGTTAAAAATGTCTTCACAGCTATTTTATGAAAATAGATTATTAGGACAATAAATATTAGTGAAGAAAAATAGAGATTTCACTCCAATAATACTAGTTATCACTTCAGATTCTGCTTCACCTTTTCAAACAAAAGGTGGTAATAATTAATCCTTATTCTGGCCATACCATCAAGTCAATTCCATACCTTCTTCTTTTCATGTCAGCATAAAGTTGGCCCCGATCCTTAATAAATCCATGGGTCTTGAATGGAAGATATGAATCTGCTACATACAGATGAGAAGATGAAATGCCATGTCTTAATAAAGTGTTTTCTTCTCTCTTTACTGGCCTTTGACGTTCTTCATTTGGGAGATACATAAATTGATCATTCTCCTCAAGGGAGGGAGACGAAGAGCTCGTATCCATCGGGACTGAGTTGGTAGAGTTCACACACATTTCACTGCTGACACCAACTCCATGAATGTAGTTAGGCTTTAAGTCTCCAGCCTGCAGGTAAAAAATGAGTGCTGGTAAGAGGCAACAACATATTGTTGACATATTGTCAGGAAGCAAGGACCTGAGAAGTTTGCCATTTTATTTATGGCTATATGTTTTGTGGGTTTTTTCCCTATTTCTTTATACACCACATGAATTTAAGGCAATTTATATGACTAAGGGATTCTGGACTTTGCATTCCTTTTTTTTTTCCTAATTAGAGCAGCAATTAATTAGTATTTCCAAGTGTTCTGAATTTATCATTCATATTTATACATTTTATTAAATGTACTGATACAAATATTTATAGATTTTATTTAAAAACTATCCTTAAGCTGAGCAAAAAATATGCATAATACATTCAAGTGGGAGACATATGGAAGAGAATTCAAACATTGTGCAATTTAATTTGGAAAAATCAGCCTACACATCATGCACTTTTAATTTTTCAGCACCAGTTTCCTAAGCTTTGAGATAAATATACATGACCTGGAACACAGTTTCTCCAGGGAAGGAAGGGAAATTACTCTTATTTTTGCAATTAAGCAATTTGGGCCCTGAAGCACCTCTCCTTTTGCAAAAAGACAGGAATGGATTTGGAAATTCTATTTTCTCAGGTACAGGGATCAGGATTTGGACTCTAGTCACAAATAATTCCCTGTTGACTCTGCAGAAGATACTAAAATACAGTTCACTGTTAGTCTTTTAGCTTGAGGCAACAGTCATGTAATTAGATACTGAATAATACTGAAAAGTCACATTGCCAGTTAAAACACTCAATCTCCAAAAACCACCTGTATAAAGGCAAGAATAAAGGAAGGACTGCAAGCGTCTCTAAAGCCCTGCTGTTTCTGATTGCTACTTCCTCTTTTCGAGTTCCTCTTGAGATGTTCTTTCAACCCCATCTTAATTATGCTTCTCTTAGTAAAAGACAGGAAGAACTGCTGACATTTTCACAGCAGCCCACATTTGCATTCAAAGCTACAGCACATGCAAGTGTGGAAATACTTCTGTTGCGCTGTGCACATGACACACACGAAGGTAAAATGCTTTTCCCAGGTCTTATGCAGCTGTTTCCCCCTGAAAAGTTATCCTGTCTGGGCAATGTTCCTCCTCAGCACCAGAGGGATCTTCTCCAGCAGCCACTCTGGCTCCTGCTGAGTGGTGCTTAAGGGAGAATTTGGCCCCAGTCAGTAACTTTAAAAAGCAGAATGTGGCCACATAGCGAGCAAAGGTTAGCAACCCAAGCTGAAGGCCCCCTGAGCAATACACTAGGGTAACATCTCCATCTGTAATTGAGATGCAGCTCTGTCCTTCCAACCTCGATATTGTTCAAATCAAGGGTTCAAAGACTGCACTTTATAGCCCCCTGACAGATGCTCACTTATGCGTCATTATTGCATACATTCATCTCTTACATTCATCTGTAATATATATTACAGATATATAGATATGTTTATATAGATAAATATATAGATATACTACAGATATATATGTAATCCATACTACATCTCTTCTGTGCATTTTGAACACAAAAAAGCCTCTGACTCAAACTTCCATCTCAGCTGTCACATGAACTGGATCTGCAGTGAATGCACTGGGTGAAGTGTTTCAGGCAATGGGGTACGGGTGGGCAGGAGGCAAAAAAGGGGGGAAAAATCACACTTGCAACATCTTAGACTTCTAACATTATCTGATAATTTCTTACTCCTATATTCCAATATTCAGGCAAGGGAGAGCTCAAAGCAGGTTACAAATAAATAAATATCTTAAAGCATCACTGAAAAATAGCTACGCACCACCAGAATCTGGCATCTCTTTAGCTAGACCAAGCCACCACACACAAGTTGTGACTAGTCAGACTCATGCCCACATTTTAAATTATGGTATCTGAGTGCAACATGAAAGAAAGATTCCAGGTGCAACACAGCGATGTAAAATGTCACTTTAGGTCATCTCCAGTGTTGGTGACAAATCAGAAATGGGAATTCTAGTGAGGACCTCCAATATCAGAATGTTCCATGACAGCTTTAGGACACCAGCTTCACCTTTTCACCAATGTCTTGTTTTTGTTGAGCCTGTAGGCCTCACTGTGAGCTTATAATTAACTTCTGAAATTATCCAGCAAATTCATCTGTACTGTGAATGTACACAGAATTCAGAAATCTGAAATGCACACAAACAAGTAATACTGTTAAGAAGCACATGTTTTTTAGCTCACAAACACACAGAAGAGACAGCCTGCCTTAAGAGTTCTTCCTGCAGTCTAGGGAGATTAATTCCTATAATTGACTGAATCTGTTAAAAGAGACCTCATACAAAGGTTACAAAATATAGCAGAGAAGAGTAAAATATTACTGGTTTTAAATTAAAATTTTATTAATTGGCAGCACTGCTGACAGATCCAGAAGATCCTACTATTATGCAACTAAATTAACCAAAAATGAAGAAAAATTAGCCAGAAGTTCAAATATAAGCTTACTTGGTCTACTACCATGCAGTTTGCATATACTTCATCACTTCCACTCAGCATGGGAGAAAGTCTGGTTGCAGCAAAGAAAGTAGGGGCAGACTTCAATTTCCTAAGAACATCAAGGGTAGAGTGTCTGTGCTCTGGAAAATAAAAAGTATGGGAAATTTTCCATTAAATCTCAAACCATTTCCTTCTCATGTATATGTACTACCATAAAAAATGCAAAGTTAAGCATTAAGAACCAAATCTTAGCATTACAATTTGAGTAATATTTGTGCTACCACAGCAAAATGTGCTCATTTCATAACTGCCCAACATATGCTATATGTTCCAGGAAGCTTACAGCTGTCAAGATTCTCAAGGGTACCACAGAATCATTCACATAAATAAAAAATAAATGTTCCTGTGTATTGGCTAGCAAAAGCTACTATTTTACACCTAAGTAGAACTTTGCAGAGATTTGTGGTTGCAGAAGAATACAGGACAAGATTTATGGGCTGGGAAGAATTATGCATGATTCTGCCTATACATTAAATGCCTGACACTTGATACATTAAATAAATGAAATACTGTTCAACTGCAATCAAATAATGATTCTCCTAAAGTATTCTACCTACTGGCAACCACATAAATATTAATCTTAGACCAAAGAATCAAATTCATGTTCTTAAAACAAAACCAACCAAACAAACAAAAAAACAAAATTTAGAAAAACACAATAAAATTGCAAAAGAGATATAAATAAAATACCACTAATACTGCCTTTACAGAGTGACAGCAATCAAGCAAGACTTGATCCATTAAGAGGATGTTTAGGATGAATACTGCATCTAATCTGCTTTTGAACAGTTTTACCAGAAATCATTAACAGAAATCCAGAGTTTAGTTTTTGAAAGTGTGCTCATGACAATAAATATTAAAAAAAGCTGGACAGGCTGTGTATTTTATGCCTTTGAGCAGGAGAAATCTTGTCCTGCAGGCCCATTTCTCTTAAAACTGGCTATAAGAATGAAGGGTCCAGCATTTGAGCTGGGTTATCTTCCGAATGTAAAACAAGTAAAATTTAACAAAGCACAAAACCAGGCTGCTATAGACTGTGTGAAACTGGGCTAAAAAAATACAGTTCATAATACCGTTTTCCCTAAAACGCTGTAAGGCAAGCATTGCCATTGGAAGTGAATGGAGGCACACTAGCATAAGAATGATGGGATAGAGGAAACTAATCCACACAGTAAAATATCCAAAATCAAACAACTCAATAAATTTAATTTGAGTTTGTCTTTTATTGAATATTATTTTTAAAATATTTTTTATGCTGCATCAGAAATTTATTTTCTACTGAGGTGTAAAGGAAAAGATACCACTAAAGACCTTCCTCACACTATATTAATATAGCAATGTAACTGCTTTTGGAAGGTCACAGAGCCATATAGCATGGTTTGGGTTGAAAGAGAAGTTTAAAGTTTATCTAATCCAACCCCCTAGGCATGCCCAGGGACATCTTTCATTAGATCAGGTTGCTCAAAGCCCATCCAAGATGCTTATAGGAATCAGATTGCAAGAAAATTCATAATAAAAAAAATAGAATTGGATTAGAAACCACACTTATTAAGATCTGGTGCATTTGTTGCTTTGAAAAAAAAAAAAGACCCAGACCACTGCCAAATCTGCAATGATACACCACAGCTTTTATTTAATTTTAAGATTCTATCTCATAAAGCCTAAGAACAGTAACTTCTATACTTAGAGAAAGATGGCAATTCCCATTTAGAAATGGCACAATATGAATTTTTGGTTTCAAGTCCTGGCAGGCCTTGTGGGATCTCATACCATTAAAACATCCTTACGCATCTCATTTTGTTTCTCCATCAATGCAAGAATTTTAACATGATTTTAGTGACTCTCATATTGAGAACTGCTAAAGCTGCAAACCATTTCCTTGTGTCTGACAAGATCCCAAAGCCTTTGTTTATAAATAATATAAAAGCATTGTTTTCTACAGCAGCTCATCAAACTCTGGCAGCTCACATCATAAGGAAATGTGATTTGGCAAAATTGACAGTACTTTCTTGTGGCATATAAAGCTTTCCAAGGGTTGGTCTTAAACCAACAATGAGGCAAAAGTGTCAGAGCCTCCATCGCTTCTTGTATGCTTAATGCCGCCTCCAGCCTGCACTCCCTCTCATATATAAGCCCATGGGGTACAACAGGCAAGGGTGGTGTACACCTCCAGTGTTGGGCTGGCAAAGGTTCAACACATACCCCGAAAAACAGCCCAGGCATTAAGGGATTCCCACACCACAGCGTAAATGCCACCCTAAGAAGTCAGTTTCTTGATTTCGGCAATAGTCCCTACTGCTGGGTGCAGAAACCTCAAAGATAAGGGGGCTGATGTGTATGTCTCAAACACCAGCAGACAGACAGCTGTGGAGCCAGCCAAGGATTGTCCATAATGACATGCTGTGAGAAGGAACAGGATGTGGCTCAAGAGGTAGGGCAGCACTTTTCTGAGACAAATATCCTTCTTCTGGATCCTGGAGATAAGCACAACACAATACAGCTCAAGTGCAGGAAAGAGGTAAAGAAGTAGGCATGGACTGTAGGAGAAAGGTCAAGACATCCCAAGACTGCCAAAGCCCTCTTACCCAGGTCAAGAAAGATCTAGAAAAATGGACTGTGCATGATAACTCATTTGTATAGAAAGCCAGAAACTCAGCTCCTGGGTGTGAATAAAATTATATAAATAAGCATACTTGTCTAAACCTGGGCTGTACATGAGCCCCAGGACTCTGGACAGCCCACTACCTGGACTGACATTGAAGCCAGGACTGCGATCTCCCTTTTCAACCCACCTCTTTACCAAAAACCCACTGCTGTGTGCTTACACAGAATGACACCAGGAACTACCTTATAACACCTTCCATGCCACATTGTAATTTACTACTAAAATTTTGTAAGCTTTTATGGGCTCTCTGACTTTTGCCATTCATTTTGACCATCTATGAGCATTTTGGGTGATCTCTTCCCCTTCAGGGTGGGATGTCACATTTGGTCTTCACAGTCACTTAGTGGACTGCAACATCCCAAGCCAGAAAGCCATCCCCCTTCTAATAGTATGTTACATTATTTTAAAATTCTGTACAAGAGTGAAAACCTAAGTAACAAATTCTGGAGAAAGATGCTGCAAGTACAAGCTATAGCACAAAATGCTACCTGCAGTATCTTCAGTCTGTAAACCCTTATTAATTAGCCACATTAAATATCATATGTTTTCCTGGAGATGCCCCAGTTAGCCTGTGGTTAAATGTGAGATGACTAAATTAATATTCATTGGGATTTTAAATGGTAACAAATTATTTCAGGCTTCATAGAATGATAGAAGTATGTATGTTGGAAAAGTTCTTCAAGATCGTTGAGTGCAATGGCAGTATGACCGCACTGTACCTCTTTACTCCCACTCTGCCCCCTCGCCCCCTCAATTTCAAACATGTGAAGAAATGACAACATCAAACTAACTTTGTAACATGAGAAGTTTAAAGCCTTGCTGAATGTGGGGGAGAGCAATATTAATTACACATTGACTGTGCTAGTAACTTATTTCTACTGGAAAGACCCACATAGTTTAAAAAGTGACAAAATCATTGCAAATGTCCAAATCACACACTGCATTCCTACAGCTTCACTAACTGCCTCCAGCCTGCCTTACTGGCTACAAGTGCTCTTGATCTTACAGGACCATCAGCACACCTTTCCCTCCAGGTTAACATGGCAGCAGGTAACAGCTCAGTGTACTGGGCACCAGCAGTAATATGCAGCAAGGCTGAACTTGCCTGAAATATGAAGCATATCAACAAAATCCATTTTCAAATAAAATGCCTCAGAAATCTTCCCTGAGCATTCAATGAGGTTATTCACATTGCAGATGCAAAACTTCAGCATCATTTGCGAAAAGACAGGACTACCAAAGCAAACTGGCAAAGGTGTCCCCAGAAGGGTTTAGGTTCTGTAAGGTATTGGAAATGGATTTCAAGATGCTTACTACAGTAAGAATTACCTGAATAGAACAGAGAAGAATTACCTTTGCTACCGAAACAACCTAGCAAGCACAGCTCAACAAGCTAATCCTTCTGCCAGAACTGAACACCCTCTGGCTCTACTCTGTGATCACAGAAAAAGAATAAAGACATGCCTTCTTTAGAAGACCCTGTGGCTCTCTGCCATCTGCCTGATGAACAGTCAAGATAGATGTACGTGTTATTTAGATGTCATGCTGGAAAGAATAATCTCCAAACATGGGTAAAATAAAAGACCTTGATCAAAGACTAACTAAGCACAATTTCTCTTCTCTACATCTTCTCTAGTATTGTAGAGTTACACAGCAAATTCTGTGTATTCTGCCAGCCGCAACGTTTATACAAATACTGTAACTTTAAAGATCATCATAGCAGTAATTAAAAACATGGTTTATGTTGGTGAAAGAAAACATATAGCCTTGAATGGCCTGTGTCAGAAAATGGCAAGAACACAACACTGATTTTTTTTTTCACAAAAATCAAAACTTAACTTGTTTCATGGGAGAACACACAGTAAAAGAGCATTTAAATACATCAACATGACCAAGCCAAGAGCCAGGAAAGAAATTACAAATTCCCTTCTCTAAATACCATGAACAGTTTTCCGACAGCTCATCACATTTACCCCCAGCAATCTGAGCAGGGGTTAATGTATAATTGGAAGTCAGGGAAAAATACAGACAGCTAAGTGCATGGGTCATGTAGGACTGCAGAACTACTGCTCTAAAAACAGGTCACCTGAATTTTTAAAAAGAAGTTCCTAGCAGAGTTCCACCTGAAGTAACATGCACATCTACAGAATGAGCCATACAATCAGTTTCAGGGGGAGAGCTGCACTCTTAATTGAGGTTTCTTAGGCCTTCATTCAGACAGCACAACTTCTTCTGACAGCAAAATTAAGCAAGTACTTGAGAATAAGCCTACATGGAGGAAAAATGAGGTAGGCTTTGAAGTGCTATTTTCATGGATGAACATTTAACTGTCTTAAATCTACAAAGTGGAAACTAAAGCACTGTGTTACCTGTATACTAAACAAGGAGGATCAGGCATATAGATGCTGGAAAATA